TGCGAACTACACTATATACGCTGCGCAGAACGATGAAGAAAGTTGAAGTCGAAAGTCAAAGAAAAACAGTAAAACAAAGCAAAAATAAAGAATGACAAACAGAACAAAAAAATAACTTCGAACAAAAATAGTTTATTCTGAGCGTTTTAGCCTTCAGAACTTGACAAGAACCTTACAGCCCGTAGTCTGAATCTGCTAAAAGCGTTATTCCTTCACATTACTAAGTACGGTAGAATGTCACCCTTATCAGTTTTTAGTAAGCTTCTGTTGTAAAGCTGAAATAAGTCAAAAGGTTATCCCTTGGCAAAGGAATATTTTTTGGAGATTTTAGAGCGATAGTAACAGTTACGGTAAAGCCTGAGAATAGCACTTTCAAAAAAAGTTACATTGAATGTGATTTGTGCGCGGAACCTTGGTTTTCTTAGGCAATTATGCTTGGGGTTAATAAATATAGACGGCATCTGTTGGTTCAGAGCCGACAGGTATGTAAATTCATCAATGTAGGCGATTTATTTTGAATTTTTGCCGGCATTTTTGGTGGAGGCCCGAGGTGAGCTGAAGTTGGATAATTCAGCGAATATTTCTATACTGTTTAGTTTGGTATCAAAACTCTTTCGAGTTATTAGTAACACTGAGGTTGTGGTCAATCAAATATCCCTGTTTTTTAGAAAAGTTGAAGAGCAATAGGAATCCGAGGGTGCATGCAGGAAACGAAGAGATGTAGTTTTGTACGTTTGAACAGGACCTTAAACTTCAGATATGGATCGCCCAACCAAGTTCCCGTCAGTTATGTTGAATTTGCGAAACATTTCTTGACCAAATGGTCAAGCCCTGCTCTTGAAGTCATCATGATGCTTCTGAATGCTCAGCGTAACAATATATACGTATCAGACAGGGTGAGTGCTATTACACTCTTTTTGCAACACAAGTATTTTTAATGAGACGTAGAACATAATTGGGTTTGTCTTTCGAACAGGTTTTGATGTCCCAAAGTTCCATTGAAAGTGTAGTCTTGTCCGCTGACGATGAAGGGGCGTGTCAGTGAGGCTGGGTTTGGCGTGCCGCCAGCCCGTTCTCCACCACTGTCCAAGCATTCAAACGGTCGAAGCAGGTAAGCGACAGCAACTGGTGGGAAATGACTGATACGAACTGTACGATACAGTCCTGTCGCTTGCCGAAAGAAAAAAAAGGAAAAGCGGGCTGGTGTTTAGCCTAAATCATCTCCCAGAAGAGCAGGACCTGGACTTGTTAGCAGGTAATAGGTCTACGTAACACCAGCTGAACACCTTAATGAGACGACGTGTCACATCACACGGTAATGAAGGGAAAGCCTGATGTCTTATTGTTGTTGACGCTCAAGACACGCCATAGACGTGCTGTCATTAAAGGCAGTTGGTCCCAGTGGGATTGATACGCCTGGCAGGACGGAATTCCGCGACCCTGAGCAGGCGCTGCATAATGCCTTTTCCAAGGGAGGTGCCCTTATAAGGGCCCTATCAAGCCACAACCGACCCAAACGCCCGCCACGCCCGCCCGCCCACAAATGGACGACCGTTCCTGACGCTCTAATCGATTCATTTGCTAAGCAAATTATGAAGCGAAGGGATTGGTATGAAGCGGCCGTGATGCTGCATGGATATATGAGTACACATATGCAGCCGTACCTTCGGTAGCGGTTATTGGCAAGACATACAGGACGTAGGCTCTTCCTTCGCAGGATTTTGACGGTTTCAATCCGTTCATCCGTCATTCCCCACCTCATAGCTCCCCCTCAAATCCTA